AAGTACAGAAATGTACTCTAAAACATCAAGGAAAAAAATACCAATGTGGTTTTATTGCAAAAATATTATTGTACTGTAAATCAAGTTAAATACTTTTGCAATGTGATTTGTAAAAGATAAAAGACCATTAGAAATGAGACTTTATATACTTCATTAAAATACTAGCAAAAATAAAACAAAGTTTGGCCTGGTAATTCTAGTAATCTAGTAATTTCTAGATTTGCTTATCAGTCTAATTGTATTCATTGTTTTACAAAAAGCTAAGCTAACACATAAAATAAGGAAAAAGGTAATTCAAACGTAAAGTTGTACTTGCAAAGAAGTAAAGTTTGTACTTCTTTTCTTCCTAAAGATAAAGGAACACTCTTTAAAATAAGAAACAACGTGCATCCATTAAGTACATTTAATTTGCTTGATATATGTCCATCTTCAGCAGCAGTTTTGTAGAATGTTTTTATGTCTTTTATATCATTTGAAGTGCTCAACTATTTCCATTTAAAGCAATTCCCATTTTATTCCTTGATGATATCCTGTGTCATTTTAGTCACAAAGTCCTAGTGCAGACAACACCAGCAGTCACATGATAGTCTCTGAGGGTACACGAAAACGGCTGAGGAGAGCAAAGTTCTGAGCTCTGCAGTGTCTTTTTAACAGGGAACAATACAGCTGTTGATTGGTCAAAAGTTTGGCGAGCATTTGAGATCCACGTGGGATTACCACGCCCTGCAGGTTCTGGGTTGGTTGGTCACTTCTAGGGATGAGTAACAATGAACTCTGACCCCTAGGACTGCCATCCAGATGTTCCCAAGAATTTCATAGACAGATAGGCCAGGAATGGCAATTGATTATGATAGCTGGGCATGGCTGGGTGTATCCTCATTTAGGAACTGCTCCTTATTGGAAAGAAAACACTTTAAACCTTAAACTACATGAATAGCTTCTGTGGCTACACCATGGAGATGAGGGCCTCATTTAGGAAAGCACAGGTAAGTAGGTTAGGTCCCCTATTCGGGCCATAAAGGCCCATGGGGAAATGGAGGGCAAGGGCCACAATTTTTTTCTCAACCATCTGACACTGGAAATGGAGGTGATGTGGTCAGCATCACGCTCCAGCCAGCCTATTACCCCCAGAAGGATTAAGCCCTGGTTCTCATTTGGATAGCAGGCTGAGTGGACCGAGTGAACCTGGGAGCTGTGTGTAAGGAATTCAAGCAAACTACATCACTTGCCCTTACCTGGGATAGGACCCGGGACCTTCCAGGGCTACCTTACTGAGCTACCATGGCTCCTAGGAAAGCACAGCTACACTTAGTTCTGTCTTATTAATAAGCATTGTCGCTACAGGTGTAACCCCGGCCTCATAACAATCCCCATCCATAAATTGGCTTGTAAATCACCCTGTTCTCCTCCCTACTGATAGCAGATGTTTGGTGAGCGTACAGGTGGACAATGTCTGCTGTTGAATCATCCCGGGCGGTGGTGGAGGAGAGTTTCCATTACCTGTAAATAGCACTATAAGTGTAAGTAATTCTTATTACTAATGACTAAAGCTGTGCCTGATGAGTATAATGGTAATGATATTGTTATAGGAACCTAATACCTCAAAGTATAACACTAACACAGTCATTAGTATTGCTTTGAGCAAGGTAAAACTAATTTTTACTCAAACTTTAAGTTCATACGTTTTAATGAGAACGTTATACTTAGAAAAAGCTCTTTTAGACTATGTACAGTATATATCATATGTCATAGGTATACCAAACACTTCACATCTACAAATATACTGTATGCCTAAATAAATAATATGACTAAAATAAATACAGTACTGCACCATTTCCTATTATAGTACTTCATAAAAAAGTGAACATAGAACACATTTTAGTTACATCATTAAATGTAGTAATGTACAGGAAGATGTAATGAAGTGTGTGAGATGTGACGAGAAAAACAATGAAAACTCAAAAGACAATGAAAATTTTAAACTGAGCCCCAGAAAAGGTCTCAGACTGTCTCTGTGAATATTCTAGAAACTTGGAGAAAGCGGTCAGGAACAGTTCTTTCCGGGCCCTATGCGGGCGACACGATCCAAAAGGTGAAGAAACAAAAGGGAAAAATATCATGCAGGAGTCGGTCAGGAGACAGGGGGGCGTGTCCATGCAGTGCAAGTGTCCAGGGGGAGTGAATCCAGGGCGAACAATCCAAGGGTAAATCCAGAGGGGGAATCCAAGACGGGAGGTTTAGTCCAAGACCTGGGGATCCATCCGTAGGTAAAACCAGAACCGGGTCGGGACCGGCGGGGCAAGGAAACAGGAACAGGAAACTAAAACCATAACGGAGCCAGACGCGGCAAGACCCCGGGCTCTCACGACACGGAAATCAATGAGAAGCCCCGAGCAATCGCCTGCGTCTGGCTTTAAAGGTGGAACTAAAGAGGGGCTGGAATAAGGAACAGGTGTGGGGAATGGGACAGAACGAGGAAGGGCTGGAGCGCCCTTAAGAGGAGGAGTAACGATCGTGACAAAAGCTTAGCCAGGTTACTGTACATGGGCTGTTCAAAACAAGTGGGAAATATCTGATATCACAACTGAGTTTCAGAAAGACACCTCATTAGAAATTATTATAGAGAGCTTCATATTCAAATATTTAACAGAATGATTTTCATTTCAATGCATAACAAAGACCTTCAGTGAAGGTCTTGTTGTTGTCAACAGCTCGATGAAGGAAAGATGAAGAAATACTGTACTCTTGGAATTCACAGTACTGATGAAAATCATAAACTGTAATGTAAAGTTTGCAGTGACATGTCTCTGCACTCAATCTACATTTCTTTTTTATGGAGATCAAAATATGAGTATTCTGACTTTTTAAATTTTGTCGTGTCTCTCTCTTCTGCCTTTTTAAATATCTCTCAATGTGCACACTGGGTTTTAAAGTGGACTACAAAGGATTTATAGACCCGTGATGGGGTCATTTGATTACCTTTTTCAAAATTTATGTAATGTGATCACGAGCTATCTTTTAGGAGTACTACTGGACTTCCCTCGCCAGCTCTGTGACAGTATATGCTATCTCATAATAAAACAGGGGATGAAATGAAAAAAATAGGAATTAGTTTTGGATTAGGAAATACAGAAAATAAACCATTTGTTACATTTTACCCCCCAGAAATTAAATTAGAACAGCAATGTGAATTCTTCTGAAAAATAACTACAGTATGTAATGTATCAGTATAAGATCTTTCTTCCCAGATCCCTGGATCACAGTTTCTTATGCTTTTCATTACAAAAGATCTCATTTTAATTCCTGTCTGAACTAACAGCCTTGTTATTAAATTAGTAATCTCTTCAACACCTGAAAAGATGAACATTTCAAATTGCCTAGAAATTTTTATACAGTAGGTACACTCTTCTTCTCTTTTTATTTAATGTTTTTCTTTTATCATGCAAAAGTGAAAAAAAATGTTAAAATAATAATAATGTAATAATCTTCTACTGAATTATTAGCCATTTTGCTTTAGACACATAATCCTGATAGATTGGCATTTGTAGTAAAAAAGTAACCTTTTTATCTTTATAGATAAAAGGAAATTCTGCAATTTCCCTCACGGGATCAATAAAGTATCTATCTATCAGATCTGTACAGAGGAACAAATAATTTTGATGATGACAAACACATGACAAAAGTTAGTAAATGTGATAACTTAGCAAGAGCAGCACTAAATATTGTCTCATATTTAGTTTACCTTGAGTTGTGGTGATCAGAGTTTTGAAACTGATCAATTTTAAGTTTGATAAATAACAAACTTGGATTCTTTTCACTCATCTTAAGTTTTAATAGCAGGCTAGGTTGTAATGGAAAATAGCAGTGGAGTGTTTGACTAAATTGTTGTTTGTTACATACATACTGTGTGTTGTAACTCCTGGTTATTGTGAGGCTAAAATCCTTTAAGATGTTAGGTGTGAGTAACAGATTTATTTATTTTCAATTGGGGAAACACATTATATAAAAACAACAGAATACAATTGTGGAATTATGGAATGAACCTCCTTCCACTCTCTCCATGTTCTCCTTAACATGTCTCCTGCATGAGAGCTAATCTTTATTTTTAAAATCTATAGAACTCCACTCATCAAACACAAGTGAAGGAATACCACATATTTGTTGCAAATCCCAGTCCTACATTACACACGACACCATGTACACCATTGGGGACTTTTAACTGGAGGGTACTTGGGTCCTGTTGGTGAATTAACAGCTGCTGCTTTCCAGCGGTAACAAACAATTCCAGTATTAATTAGGTTTGTTCATAAATCCTTTTGATATTGTTTTGCATATCTGTCTTTATGTTCTGTTCTACAAAGAATATTAATAACATAAAAATAAATCCTCCTCATTTACATGAGGTCCACAGGGTTACTGAGGACATTGATTTAATTTTTCACCTTGCCACAAGAGGGGGCACATGCACTCCATTTCCAATGCAGTAATGCACTGCACAACTTCAAATAAAAAAGCAGTAAAAATGTAAAAACATAAGAAATTATTGTAAAATTTTGGCAATAATTGTTAAAAAACATAAGAGTGACTAACTTCAAATACAAATACAGTATTTGAAAAGTCAAAATAGAAAATATATATATATAGATTTATATATAGATTTATACAGAGCTAGAGTCTTATTATTAAAACATATAACATTATTTTGTTTGCATATACAGTAGTTTTGTTAAATTAGTTTTGTTATTATATTCTGATGCATTTCTAAATACCTGCATTTTTTAAAAAACATTTTGACCAAAAGCCCTGATAACCTAGTAAATGATGAATTAAGAAAAAAAAGTATAGCAACAGGACTTAATTGTGTTTAAGTCTTCACAGTGTTAGAGACTTTCGGAGATTCCTGTAGGCAGACACTGTACACACCCACTCTGCCACAGGCCACTGGTTGCTTGGCAACAATGCCAAAAGTAAGCAAAGACTGTGCTAACAGAAGAATGGAGTCCAAGTGTGTCAACACAGGTCTGTAGGTAAGAGTAGTAACTTTATAAAATACAGACAATAAAGTAGCTAATTGGTATATTAAATATTGAAAGCACTGTGTTGCATATACTATATCGTATGTGTGCTTACTGAGATTTCTTTGACCTTCACCTGCAAGAAGCTTGAAGGAATTAGATTTCTAAACTCTGAAACTTACCACTGACTGTTATAAAGTTTTTATTAAGTAACTGTTTTACCATTAGTTTCAGAAATACTGTTCGTATTTGACTGTGTGCTTTGCTTGATATTCTACATTTCTTTCTTAAGAAACAGCTTTCAATACCCTCAAGTCATAGGCACCGCTGTGTCCCAGATCTGTCTCCATGCACCATTTTAACACAATTATTTAACTGAACTGATTAATCTTACGTTAAAGTGTGTCTACAGCAATCAGAATTTCAAGATGCATGCTTTAATAAATCCTTTGGAAAATTGAAAATAATTTTGTATCTGTATCTAGTAACTACAGAAGAAAACATTTCTCAACATGATTGTTAATGGAAGTATTGTCATAATACTTTTGTTGAAGGCATTCTTTTAGAGACATGGGGATATAGAAATATAATATTAAATCTAGGGTCATTCAAGCAGTAGCGCAGAGTTGTTAATGCTCTGGATCTGCCAAAAACTAATCCTACTGTACCTAATTTTGTCTTGGGTGGGGCACTGCTTTTGTACTGTAACACAACGGGGGCTCAGGCGGGCGCCCTTGCCGCATCAGGTTGGCCCCATCCCGACTGAGGCTCGAACCCGGGACTTCCGTGTCTCTCTGCAGTGACCTAGATCTCTCTTTAGCTCACGGGGCTGGGTCTCTGCAGAGAGACGCGGAAGTCCCAGGTTCGAGCCTCAGTCGGCATGGGGCCGACCAGATGCGGCAAGGGCGCCCGCCTGAGCCCCCGTTGCGTTACATTGGTGTCAGAGCGGGGTGGGATAGCCCTTCGCCGGGGATGGCGATTTAAGCGGGGGAGAGTGTAACGCTTACGGCCGACAGGCACTGTGTAAGAGCCGGCGTACCAGAGCAGGTGACGTCACCGCCCTTCCCTGTGATAGCAGGACCACAGCTACTGGGCTGAAGAGAGATCTCTCTTTAGCTCACGGGGCTAGGTCGCTGCAGAGAGACACGGAAGTCCCGGGTTTGAGCCCCGGACGGTGCGGGGCTGACCTGATGCGGCAAGGGTGCCCGTCTGAGCCCCCGTTGCGTTACAGTACTATTGAGCAGGGTACTTTGTTCAGATTGCTTTGTGTGACAATGCATTATTATGTCTTCAGAACAATCGTATAAAACCTGTACAAAAAGTTTGAAAAAAGCGACAAGTAAGGGCCACATCAGACCGAGCACAGGTGGAGCTCCATGATGGGGTTAGAACCATGGTATTATGTTGCTAGCTGACTGTGACCAGGAATCCCCCAGGGGGTGGCCAGTTGGCCAGGCCTCTCTCTGCACTTGGTGACACAGCGCCACCTGCAGGGATGGTTGTGAGGGATGCCTCTCCTGTCACTACCTTTCCTCCTATGGTGCCTGTGATGAGCTAAAAGATGAGCGGTTTGAAGTAGGGAGGGTGGGCGGAGTCTGCACACACTTCCTTATACTCCCCTTTGTGCTGTAGCAGGGTTCTTAGCTGTGAGCCGAGATACGAAAACATACAACTGGCTAACCCAAGCTAGACATGTCAAAAATAATTAAACTTTCTAAATTAAATATAGATCTGACATTTATTTTGCTAAACATATCATGGGTTATACAGTATATTGTTCAATTTTTTTCTTTTAAAGATAAACAAGGATATAATGGCTGCAATGGAAGAGAAAGTGAAGACTTTGAAGCAATCTTATGTAAGTAGTATATAGATTTGTGGATAGATTTGTGGATGCAACCTGGTTTTAGGTGTTGTTATAGTAAAGTTACCCTGCACTGTCTGGCATCTGTGCACAAAAGTTAAGAATTTTACCATCAATTGTTTAATCAGTGTTGCAATGCTTCTCTTTTCAAAATTATGGGTTCTTGTAACCATAATTGTTGCAAAAAGTATATTTCTAAACAGGTCTTCGTATGTCAGGATGTAAAGAGCAATGGTTCATTCATGGAATGATTTTTAAAATAAGCAGAAGGATTTTCTTCACAGTTTTGTCTTTGTAATGTTGATAGTTAAGACAGTCCAGGCCTAGGATTGGAAGCTGAACTTATTGTTGTACAAGTGAATTTGCAATCATATTATTAAAAGGCTTAAAACCTGTGGCATTGTAATAATCTACTGTTACGTACATTGTTGGAATCATACCATAAAGCATGCTGTAAGTAATGATGCAGCTTTGTAATCAGGACTTTATTTCACTCCAGACCAATTACTTGTATGAGCTATAACATAGTACGACTGAACCAGATGTAGTGTATACTTTCAGTGATCCTGCATTCCCTTATTTAAGAATTTAATCACTCTGCATTTGCCACTTACTGCTGATTTAATTAAACACATTTTACCACAATGGAAAGAAAAATTAAATACGCACACATAAATATAACAATTTCCTATTAGATATAAATAATAAATTAATATTATATAAAAAATGAAAATAAATGGGGGATACACATGTGTTACTGATCATAACACAACAGATGCAAAGAACAACCAAAGAATCAATCAAAGCTTTTTGAGAATGCAGCCATAGAAGCAGAGTGTCTCAGCTAGCAGGCAGCTTGTAGTCAGTGTGGAGAGCTGTCAGATTTAACTGTCAGAGCAGGAAACTGGGGTTCCCTCTCCTGGCTGTGCTGAATCGCTCAGGGAGATATACAATTAACACTCCCCACTTGCACAGAATGATAACAGACAGCTTGAAACTCACAGAACAGCAACTAGGTAATGTTAAAATGTTTCAGAGAATACCCTTAAACCACAGTCCACAGTTCTTTTGTTATTTGTTGTGATTATGTTGATTTGCATGGTGATTTAGGAATACCTCATGGTATAGAGAGAATGTTTTCCTTTTATACTTGTTTTTCATTTCCTGTGGTGGCTCAGAAACAAGCACTGGGGGTACCATAGAATGTTAAATTGTTTGGATTTGTCAGTGTATATTTTAAGTTTGGTTTAAAGAAAATAACCTGCAATAATGGAATCAAATATCCTTTGCAGATCTTACATTTCAAGATAATTTAATCTCTATGTTCAACAGTGTTCAAGACATTCCAATTGTGTACAGTAACAGCACACAAATTAAAGCCTATAATTTAAGTTGTTTCACATCATATTGAAATACATATTTACTGCACAAGATAAAATGGAGAAACTCATTTTTTAAAGCAATGTGCAGGGTGTTTATCAATGTGATCTAATTTAATCATGTGATCTAAATTAAAAAATGCATGTACAATAAATGGTCATTCTAAATTTAGACAAATCTAAATCTAGGTAAAATCAGTCCCTATTTAATTTTAGTCAAAAATGTGAATCTCAGAATCATTGTTTCTGTTCAATGGCCCAATTATTTTTTAATGAAAGACACAACATTTCTTTTGGGATATGATTGACATGTAGCCACATATGTCAGTGATATAATGACTGATAAGATCAATAGCATGAGATTAACGTCAGTGAAAACAGGTACAGTTCCTTGCAGATTTTATAGACAAATACTATGGACTAAAAGTGATTCTGTAACTGTTTGCAGTAATTTATTAGCTTTGACACTGGGGCATCTGGCTTCTTTTGACAGCAATCAGACATTGTGCACATCACCATGGAAATTATAAATCTGGTGGTACAAGGACATAGTATGTCATGTGTTTATAAAGATTAAAGTTTGTATTTTTTCCATTTAACTTGCAGTGTTTTTGGACGGACCAAATTTCATTAGACTCCTCTTTGTATTCTCTTTTAATAGAGGTTTATTTTATAATTAATATGCTAATATTAGTACTAAAATTAGTTGCAATTTAATGCACATCTTTGTTTGGTCCTGTATGCTTTTATGTTTCAGTATTCATTGTATTTCTTTATCGTTACTTTTTATGCAATTAACTGTCTGATTGTCTTATGCTTTCTCAGTTGGTGAATAACCCAGAGTATAAACGTCTTCTGAGTGAAGTAGACACTTTTTGTTTCAACCAGAAACTGTCATCGTTCTTAGTGAAAAAACACAGAAGGTGAGTGGAAAAAATAGTGCAATAAATACAAAAAAAAATTGTCATGCAGGCAGCAGAAAGTCGTCACAGTTTATGCATACTGGTACAGTACTTACAATACGTAGCAACTCATTTACAAATATAATTCAGAGTTGTATGCTGTATAATTGTTTTGCAAAAGAACACTCAGTCTGCACCGTCCTTCGCTGTGTGTTCTTTTATCTTGATGTTCACTATTTTATTTTTTTCTCATGAAATCACTCTATCCATGGCCAGCATGTGTAAATCTGATGTGACAAGGGAGCCTGGTGCAGTGAAGAATGGTGTGAAATATTTACACTAAAAAGAAAAGTGGATATACAGTATTAACTAGATATGAAACATGAATATGAATTGTCAAAGATTGAGCATCAGTTCAGACTGGTGTCATCCATGGTGAATATATAGTAACTGTGAAAGAATGAATATCGGAACACGATAAAGGATCTGCCCCCCATGAAACCAATTACTCTATATAAGAAAATGTTATATAGGAAATGGAAAAACCTTTAATTTAATCAAACACAGACATATGGCTTCTTATCAGTTTAGGTGTTATGAAACATTATATTCATTCTATGATTGTTTTTAGTTATTACTCTTTCTCAGATATGCTTAATATATATATAAGTATATTACCACATACACATGCACTGTAATTTTGCACACAAACACATGAGATTATGTTTGTAATGCTTACAGCTGGTCACTACATACTGTACTCAGAGTTTCAAGCAGGGTTATTCCTATAATAATGATCACAAACCCCCTATAAAACACAACAATTATGTTTGTGCTTATTCTTTACTATGTGAAGCTTTTGATCCAATACATAATATTGCAATCTGATATACAGTATAAACACGTCAAATTGTGTCTCTAATGCATAGGTTTACTGTAGGTGTTAAGCTCAATTGAAAATCCTTTAAGTACACTGCACTGTAAAGATATGCAAATGTGACATATTGTGTAGTGCATAGAATTCAGGTTATGTAGAAGGTTCAGGAACATAACCCATATGTAAGTAGATGACTGTATAAGACAATATGAAAATGTCTTACTTGCTAGAGTACTACAAGCCTTTTACAGACAATCTCTTACTATGGACTTTTTCCACAATAAGTCATATGAATTCCATTGCGTAATGGTTAGTGGGGTAACATACAGGCATGGCACCTGTTGGACTGAGTCCTTAGTTAAGTCTCTGCTCTAGGCCTTTACTACAAATAAAGAGTTCTGTGTTGCCAAATAGTATTTCCTAACAAAATCACAATATCAAGTGCCCACACATTTTCTGTTTTGTTTAGTTTTTTTTGCTTGTTTGTGTGCTGGGGGTGGATTAGAGTATTATTAGGTTTTGTTCAACAGTCATGGGCTGGTGGAATGTATTGCTAATAATGAAACCATTTGGGTCTCTTGTGTAGACTTTTTTTACATTTTTATTGTTTAAAAGCATACCCACAAAAAATATACAACAAGAACTTCTAATCATTAGATGATTGCAAGAATCAGAGATCACAATCTCCATCTCTCCCACTCCCACATAGGATAACAACATGCCGTGTTACCACCTAGACTAAATTCTGAACTGAAGTACTCTTTTTGTTTGATTGCATATCTTGACCCTTAAGAGGTGCTTAGTCTATACCTGAGATTATGTTGTAATGAAAGAAAAATTAATATTTGTTAATGAGTGGCATAATGAGTCTTCTCTGAATGTGTCCAATTGAATAAAAAAGGTGGTAAAAATGCTTATGTGATTGCAGTTACTAAAATTTACAGTAACTTAAGTCCAAAAGATGGCACTGTTGAATTGCTTGAAAGATATTGTTTGATGTTCACATGGTAGTGAACATGGGAGATTAAATTGTTTTCATGCTGGACATTCATCTCTGAATATTATTTTAAACATCAGATGATTTTCTAGACAGAAGTGGTTTTCTAGTGAAATATAACAGTAACACACAGTAACAGTAACACAGTAAAACACATAACAGGTTTACTACTCGGGTTCTGTGCTGTACGATCATTTACAAATCTTCACATTTTTCTCCTGTTATTATACATGTATACTTAAACAAATACCTGGTTCTCCATGCAAACAAATCTGCAGTATTTTATACTCTGGATGACTGCTTTTAAATTTTTAACACTGTTATTACCAATATCAGTTGTTGTTACCTTCAATAACAATTGCTAGGAAACCTGTCCTGCAATCTGTAGAACCTTCTATGTCTGAAAGTGTTTTATTATCTATGCTATCCTAAACTACTTTAATTATCATGTAGAGTAACTCAGAGGTTTTATTGTTAACAATCCTTCTAGTTACTGGGTTCCCCCCTACTAGATAGAATTCCTTTTATGTCTATTTTCTGTGTGTGTGTGTTGTGGTGATGGAATGGGTTCATAGAGATGTGGCTGCTGCTGCACTCATACTCAGGAGTGGTGTGGACATGCAACAGTCACAAAGTACCCACATGAGGAGAGGGAATGTGAGTGGAAGGACTCCTAGAGGACTAATAGGTGCTGAAAATAGGGGTCTCTCCTTCTTGTACGGGAAGTTGGACTTCCACTTTTTGGGAGACCAGCAGAGAATCCAGAGTCAATATTCTGCTGCCAGTTTCCATTATCCTTTGTCATGTAACTGATTTATATAGAAGTCTGTTCAGCCAAAACATGTAGATAGCTTCATCACAATATACAGTAACACTGAATATACTAATCAGAAAGTGAAGTTATTACTGTATGTAGCCAACATTAACTTAATTTTTTTTGTTTCATTTAGTAAAAGAAGGCAGGAGGACCATGCTTCGCATTTCTATAGCATATTACTGGAAATGCTGTATGAAGTTCATAGGTATGTATATTTCTTGATCCTTATTTGTATGCACTTTACAACATTGGTCTGTGCTTTAAGAATATAAGCAGAGGTGCAAAGAAGAGGAGACAATTCAGCCCATCTATCCTGTTTGGCAGTAAGTAGCTAGTTAATGTAAAGATCTCATTCAGCCAGTTCATGGCAGAAGCCAGAGCATCCAATTCATCAGTAAATGGGTGTGGGCTTTTATTTCACTCTCCATCAATACACATTCTCAACAGTCACTGATGCAGCTTTAGCTAAGTACTTCCTGGCTTAAATTCCTAGTTTAAAGAGGAGAATGTGTAAATACATGTCTTTAAGTATACATTTCATGTAGCATTGGCAAAATAATTTTAATTTACAGCATTCAATAGATTCTTAACTGGTCAGGAGCAAGAAAATGCACCCACTTTTCATACATAATAAGTGGTGTTCATCTATCTAAAACTGTTTTTATAGCTTTTGAAGTCATGCAATGTCTAAGCTAGGCAGGGACACATTATTGTTTCTTATTTTTGATTTTCTATAATTTTATTTTAATCAGCTCCCCACTTTCACCCCTCACCCCACTTTCTGTTTTGTGGAAAAATATTTTTCCTTGGGGTTGTTTTAGTTTGTATTGTTCCTTTGTATTATGGATATTACTGTATTACGGTTTGTATTACGGGTAATTGTGGTGTACATCATGGCATTCATTTTAGAGGCTTTTACACTGTGCCCAACTTTGGAGCAGTTTGAGAAATGACACAAGGCTTTATTAATTATACTTTTTATCGTAGAATTTTATCAGTAGCGGGTTTGAGTCTCATGATTTACTGGGAACGTATCAGATTTTAAACTGATGAAGGGTGACAACCTCCACCCCCCGGACAGAAAATGGTGATAAAAATACATTCAAAAGGGTGCAGTGTGTTAACAAAAACTCTGCTAACTGAGCCGCTTGTAAGAGCAACATGACTTTCTGTTCAAATAAATGAAAGCTACAGCACAGTCAGACAGTTTTAGCTAAATTAACTGTTTGTCAAAATCAGTTACTTTGTAAGCAGTACACAACTTCTCAAAAGGTAAGTTTTTTCTCTCTCATGCAAACTAATAAAAGGTTTATTTTTTTATAATTTTGAAACTTGGACAATATGCTAAGGTCAGCCATTTATACGGCGCCCCTGGAGCAGTTGGAGTTAAGGGCCCTGCTCAGGGGCCCAATGGAATAGGATTCCTCTGCCAGCCGCAGGATATGAACCGGCAACCTTCCAGCCACAGGTGCAGATCCTTAGCCACCACACCGCCCAGAAATTGGTGATTTCTCATTGCTGAAATTTGCAATAAGACAAAATATAGATTTTCTCAATGCAGATGAAACACTGAAAGAGACACATCATGTTACAAGCTACAGTATAATAATAAACTATTTTATATATCCAACTGTGTAATTTTGTTTTTATAAAATTAATTAATGTAATATTTAACATACTGTAATACACAGTTTAAATGTAATAAAAGTAAATAACAGTATGCAACTTAAATTCTGTAATTGGAAAAATATTGTCTTGAGAGGCATCACATTGACCAGAATTTTGAAACCAGGCATTTTCTTGCAACAGCTCTAATGCTTCCATAAGCCACATTTAACATTCACTGCACCACCTGGCGGTTGTACAAACTTGTACAGTGCAAAAACAGCTTAAAAAAAAAAACAATGATCTTGTTTGAGCATGACCACTGCAAACTGCTCCAGTATCCAGCACACATTGTGAGTGGCTGCATCTGTATATTTTGAGCACTTGACCATTCATGCTCTTACAAAGGCAGGCTAGATAAATAGAAAATGCATAGACAGCCATGTACAATGATGCTATTTATAAAAATAAACAATAGATTTTGTGTCATATACGGAATAATATTTTTAGACTTACAGGTAAGTTGCTAAATTACTTAAAACAAGCACCAGATACAAAGTTCAGGTACTGTATATAGTATATGTACTGTATATACACTGTAATATACCTTTCTCTAATTCAAACAGAAAGATACTTGCATTTTTTATACAATTAATAAAGATTTGAAATGAGAGTGAATCAGAAACTCTGAGGTTGAACATACTGAAGTTTAAGACAGTGAGTTAAGCCTGTCTTCAGGTTAATGGTGCTGCCTGAAAATTAATTTAATCTGAAGTGTGCAATTAACCCTGCATCTTGACCACAATAAAAAACTGAAAATATGACACCTTTCTTCACCAGTATTATTAACAGTTCTTTGCAAGCGTATTTGCTCCCTTTCAACCCTTTTTTAAAGTTAATATTTAAATCAAATTTTAAATGCTAAAAATTAGATCTTTTGGAGGGGAGAGAAGTTACATATTAGCAAAAAATGTACATACTGTAATGTAAATGTACAAAAATGTCATATTCACTGGGAAGGGAGTGAATACTTTTGCATGGAATTGTAATATTAAGATGCTTCTTGTCTGTAATGGGCTGACATCCCATCCACATTGAATCCTGCCTTGTGCCTGTTGCTTGCTGGGATAGGCTCGAGCTTCCCCTGAATTGAATGAAAAGGTTAGAAAATGGATAAATATTACTTGTCTGAGCACTTCAGCTAGGCGCTGTGATTCTCGAGAACTCATCATAATGTACTGCTGAGTTAAACATTATTATTATTACTCTTTCCATATTTTTAATCTGTAGAAATGGACCAGAATTGCAGCTCATAATTTTGGACAAGGTGCTGGGTTGGTATCAGACAAATAACCCTGGAATACAAAAAGTATTGGTAAGTGTTTTTAATTAGAGCTAAGCCTGTTTTCCAGATTACACTTCCAATAATGTGTTCTGTTTTAATTTTTTTTAAAGAACTTTCTTTACCAAAAGTAATCTTAATTAAGCATTCACTGCTGTTTTGTAATGAAAGGAAGAGAGAGAAATAATAAATGCGGATTGACTGTAACATTGAAGTTCTGCAGGAAACTCAGATTCTTTTGAGGCCTTTGCTGCAATTAGGTCTGTTTAATTGGTAAATACCAGCAAATAAAAAAAGCTTAAAAGGGAACCTATCCCAGGGTCCATTGACTGGAAAGGAATAATCACTTTAATAAGAGTTTCAATTTTGATTTCACACTAAAATGTATATTATAAATGTCTTCACCTTGTGACACCTTGGAGTGTCACAAGGTGAAGAGTATTTCTTGTTTTTCTTCAATGTGTCTGCAATAGCTGTGTCTGTTTTCTGCAATAGCTATATGACAATGGGCTGAGTAGCTCAAGTACAGTAGGTGGCTGCGTCAGCATGCTAAGGCTGCAAAGGAACAAGTAAAGATTTATTCCATGCTGAACAGAGAAGTAACACAATGTTTCGGATGGGGAACCTTCTTTGGATAGAAGAAGGCTCCACACCCACACCCATACCCAAACACAGCCGAAATTTTGTTTTTTTTTCTTTTCTTTTCAGCATGGAATAAACCTTTACTTGTTCCTTGACAATGGCTAGGTTTACAGCATGTTTTATTTTAATCAAATTAAGAGTTAAAAAAACAAAGAATTTTGTTTTGAGAAATAAATAGGGACTAAGTATCCTTTTTGCATTATAAGGAAAGCTTCTCGTTTTCTGGAAATGTCTACTTTCCCTGAATTCCATGCAAATGATAGCAGAAGGGGAGGGGGTAATTTTTATACAGTAATAGCCTTTGTGTAGGGCCTTCTGTGATTCTCGTACAGTTTACAGTGAAAGACCCCAATACACTATTTACAGGTAGAGATGAAAATGGTGAATAAAGCTTTGATTTTCTAATGCATTTGTCTGCTATTTTCATACTCTTATGGTGTATTTTTGCTCACACTAGTTTTCACCCAGAATTTGTGGGTGGATTTTATAACTGGGATTTCCGATAGTAGTCCCGGAGGGCTAGTGTATCTTCAGGTTTTCTACTTTTCTTTAAAATAACAGCAACTGAATTTGTTAAAGTGGACCAATGAAGCCATAACAATTAAGCCAGATTAAGGTTTAGAAATTAATGGGATTTAAAGCGATGGTTTTGTTACATTAGTCTAAGAAAGAAGAAAAAAAGAAGTGGGTCTTTTATCAGTAATACTTTGATAAGGAATTATTATGCAAACATAAAATTCATTTATTTTCTGTCATACAGTATCTACATTTCATTGTGACTGTAGCTTTAGTGACACTTGAACAGGTTCATTAACAATTTCACATGAAATACTGTAGGTGTTCATGTTACTAAGTGGGCGTTTCATTGATTTTGCTGTGAAATTTTTCAACTTTTTTATATATTTCCCTGAACATATTGAGACCTTTGTGCTTATTTTCACAGGTTTTCCACCTACACATGTACACACACACATTTCTGACTCACTAGAGAAAAGCCACCAAATTAGCCTAGTTTAGCCTTTTTTGGTCAAGAGTCCTTCAATGATAAAACATGAATAGGCTTTTAAGTACAGGACTTTCCTTAATCTAGTCAGCATTTATGTTTACATAATTTAATAACTTTTGAATGTTACAACCTTGTAGTGTTCACCTTTTTTCTGCTTGATACATTATGTGAACTGAAATGCACTAATTATTTAATTAGTCTGTAGCTGAAGGTAGAGATGGCTAGAAAGTGATTCATGTGTGTGAGCTTCTCCTTGTAATACTCAGATGTCAACATATGAGAAAAATGATGAAGTCTTTGGCAGGAAACCTGTCATCTGTCATCCGTTTCATAATGATGGTGATGACGCTGCCCTTCTGCTTTTATGTGGGCTGAGCTAGCCTTCACACCAGCAGTAGAACAACTTTTTCTCTAAGCTTGAAAATGCACTTATTAATGAAAAGAAGTAAAAAAAAATTGGCATACAAAACCTTTCCTTTAACTTAAAGAGGTTAACTGATTGTAATATCTTAGTGCTAATTACAAAAATATCCATATATTTATATGGATATTTATATATATAATATATAAGATATTTACATATATATATATATCATGAAAAATAAATCCCTCGTTCCAAAACAGTATTAGCTTCACCAGGAGCTGCCAATTAATTCATAGTTAATAATAAGCCAGGAGTGTCACATGAGATAAACTGGGAGTAATTTATGAGGAGTAATGACTTAAATTAATTTTAAAATATATTTTTCAAGAGAAGCATGTGAGTGAGAGAGTCAGGTTGTAGTAGTAACAGCATTGTGCCATATGGCATGTAATTCAATCTGCCAATCCCTCTGATTTGACCTGAAAGAGACAAATGAAATTAGTACTGAAAAGCACTGCACTTTACTGTACAGTACATTCATTTACAATATACATTTTAGTGTGAAATCAAAATTGAAACTCTTATTAAAATTTTAAAAATAGATGTGTGAAAGTGTTTAGATTAGTGACCATCATGAAAGAAATAAAATGCACAGAAACATTAAGGATTTAAGTGTTGCGGATGATGGTGACAGACACTTTGTGTAACAGTGTAACAGATTTGTTATTAGATACAAAAATAATTTTCTCACAGACCACTTCCTGGAATGTTTGTACATTAGAGAACTCCTATAGAAACAGCAGGAGAGCACCCACTTTAATTCTACATCATGTACTGTATGTGCTGAAAGGTATGCAGCATGTGGGCCAGTTGGAAACACTTATCTCTAAACATTTATCAGCTGAAAGTTTTAAGGGCAGCATTATAATAGTATCCCACTCTTTCTTATCAATTGCAGAGTTTATGGCTCTAATTAAAATCTTATGAAAGGACTTCAAAGGATCTTCCCCATTTGTTTAGAACATTCTATAGAGCTTTGATATTAATATTTTAAGAATTTGTAGGTTTTATAAAGAAACCTAATTTTTTAAAATATAATATGAGTTAATAAATATGTTTGGGCCAATGTTACTTATGCGAATATAATTTCTCATCTGTAGGTGTTTACATGCAATCTGTAAGTATCACATTGAAGTGCACACATTTTCTGAAATAATTTCAGTGTACAGTACACTACTTCCCTGGAATAAATTTGCTAGTTTTCCAAGTTTCCACGTTTTTCATAAGCTGATTTCCACCAGTATAGTCAAGATAATAGGTGGGAACAGGTAAAAACTCTCATCACTGTATATCACACACTAATAACTTTATAAGTCAGTAGTTGCTTCTTTACTGTCATTTGCATATTAAAATGGCTTACAAATATCAGCTTCACCATTGGTGTATCAGAATTTGTACGAACTCAATACTCAATCTAAAACATCTAACCTGCACACCCCATACATAGCATTTAATATCGGGCAGCCTATCTAACCATATTCTGGGAATGCTGACATCTATTCATTTATTAGTTTTTTAATTTTACTGTTTTGCTTTGTCTGAATTGCTTTTTCAGTCACCATATACATAAGAGTTGTTCACTTACAATTAACCCAAATTTCAGACTTTTTCAGGGTATCAAATACATTCCCATTCCTTCTAATATTTTTTTAAATGAAAGCATTTTGGAATTCCTTACAAATTATCATCTTCTTTGTGTTACCACAATCTAGTTACAAAGTAAATAGATTACATTTTAGTGTCTGCATTAATGAGAGATATGGGCCTGCAGGATCCACATACAGTAGCTCCACCCAGCTATAGGTCTTTACTTTTTATCAAAATCAGAGAGATATTTGTCATCTTTGTCATTTCAGGAAGCCTAAACCTACCAAATGCAAATTTTAGAGTTTTAAGTAGAAGACTGCTAATCATGCCTTTTATTAACAGATGAAATATAACCAAAACTCAAGTCCTAGTGATTTTTCAAATTGAAGACGTTATATACCATCTTTATTTTAAAATCTTTCTCATAGAGATTGGGGCCACCAATAATCTTATGTGTGTGTTGTTAATTCACACAATCTTTGATTAGAAAGAAGTCTCTTTTTCAGACTTATGAGTGATCAGGTTATGGCCAGGCTGTTTATAATTTTAAGTCATCTATTCAAGCTGTACACATGTGATATAATCATACCTCTGATGTAAGGCCCCGGACAATTCTCGGATAAGGTACTAATATATCATTATACTGAAATATATCATTATAAATTATAAATCATTGGAAACTGTCAATAAATTTCTATGTGCTCTGACACGTGTACCTTAATTCTTGTTGTCATTGGATTCAGTTTTCATGAAATGGTGTGTTTTGTGGGATAAATGAGGAGTGATTTTCTTAGTTAAAGGGGCATTATCAGACAACAGAAAAAAGCTTAACTGAAAATACAGGATGGAAGGATACAGAAATGTAATCTTTAAGCTAGGTTAAAATAGTAATATTTTGGAGCAGGGCTCAGGAATCTCCAAATAGCTAAAAAAGCAAGATTAAGCTTCTTCCCTTTTTTGAGAGTGGGAAGTCTGGTAATGGCGATTAGTTTATACTGGTATTAATCCATCCATTTTATCACAACTTTATCCAATACAGGGTTGTGAAGGAGCTGTAGTCTATAGCAGTAAGCAAGACAGGACGCACCTTGGTCTGGTAGGGCATCTCAGGGCACACACAGACACAAACACACATACTGACACCAGGACCACTTTTCCAGGAAGCCAGTTAATTTACCAGAATTACTTTGGACTGCGGGAGAAAACTGGAGCACGTGGAACACCAGGAAAACATTCTTGTATTCAATAAGTATTTAAAATCATTCCCTAAAATGATATGTGAATAAACAATATCAGCTACTGTATATAGCTAAATGTGTCTATAAACAAGCTATTATTATCCTGATCATTTGGTCCAGAAATGTATCCTCACCA